GGGATTTGGTGCCACGCCTCCTTTTTAAAATCATACCATTTCGTACAACTGAATTCGTACGAATTAGCCACTAAACTGGCAAAACGTAAAATACTTACGTTTTCTCGTGAGATCAGGCTGGTTATTTCACCCAGAGTATATGATTAGGTCATAAAATCTATTACAACTGACTACAATCTGTGCTTGTACAGACGTAAAATATGAAATGCCAAAATGAGCTATTGGAGGGGTGGAAATACTGATGTTAAATGCAATAATTGGTACAAGTCTAGCTTGTGCCCAAAGCTTTTTATAAATGGAAATTAAATTACTCGGTTTTGTCCACTATTAAAATTTGGCCTGGTGTCAACAAGTTTCTCAAGCCTAATAAGATGAAAAAACTTCATTTTAAAATGCTTCATTATTACTATCCTTGTAACTCTTTACTGTCTCAATTTAATATAAACAATTCTTCGCAAAGCACATTCTGTAATTGTAACCTGGAAACAATAGCGCATTTATTTTTAGAATGCAATTTTGTAGAAAAATTTTGGACAGAAATATCTTGGCTTGTCTTGTCATCTTACAAAATCTTTGATTTTAATATAATTAATTTATTGGTTTTGATTTGGGAGTCAGATTGTAAGGAAATAAACAGTATAAGTAAAAATGTTAACTCTTTGTGGCCTTTTCCATCTTCACAAATGTAGAGTTGTTCAGTGTTTGCCTAATTTTACAACATTTTCTTTTTACTTTATTATGAATCTTACTGCCTGTCACAAAATAATAATATCGCAAAATAATTTAGTATATAATAGTAATAATAGTTTTTCTTACAAGTATTTTTTCCCTTACCCCTTGTATCATTGTTACTAGATGTACAATGAATATGTATAATTTGGATTCAGATCACACAATGTTTGCACAATTTAATGTTTCATGTATTCCCTGTTACTTATGTTAATAATAATAATAAAAAGACAAGAGTAAAGTGAAATGTGATTCTCCCAGTTATCTAAAACAAACTGTTTGGTTTTTAATGTGTTGCTCATTGTTTGTATTTAAATATTTTCCTATTGTTTTTATTTCACTGTATTTAATTGCTTTTATAATATTTTGTGTTATCTCTAATCTGGGTTATCAATAAACTAAAGCAAAAACCATAACAAAATAAATAAATAAATAAAATAAATGTAGCCTGAAGCACGTATTTCCAATGAACCTGGGTTGTGTTAATACCAAGTGAAAAAAATCATATATGTATATTAATACCTCCTACTATGTAATAATAATATTAATAATAATAATAATAATAATAATAATAAAGATTCTTCTGTACAGCAAAAAATAAACAAGGCACATTTTTTGGTAAAAAAATCTCCATAGATTGTTTAATACAACATACCATATTTTCAACAATTCAACATCAATAAAATTGTGTTAATTAAAAAAAAGAAAGGATAACGAAAAAAGAAAACAAAATGCATATTACCTTTATTGCACAGAACAATTTAAACATTTTGTCATACTAGATTTTTTCACCTTTTTAGGTCTTTTTTTCCTTTTTTCTTTAGTATAAAAGAATATTATGGACCACATTAATGCACATTATCATCCTGGGCTGAATGTCGGAGAGGTCATAGAAAGATTTATTCGATGTGACGGGGTGAAAAAACAGCAGGTTGACCACAAAGGCAGAGGATCAGAGAAAGACTCAGGTATGTGTGTCAGATTAACTCTAAAGTGGATCAGTAAGGGTTAAACCATCTGTGCGGCTTCTCCATCTGCAGCTTCAGTCAGCAGTATAAACCACTTAGCAAGGCGAAACCCATCTACACCAGAGCACAATCCAGCGCGTAAACACAGCTCAGTGTCCTTGCATGGAAATCACCTGGCCTGCTCGGCCCAGATTAAACACACACTTAAAAACACAGCTGTAGTGTAGCGAGAATTCATTAAACCATTGCATTTCAGCACCAAAACCTGCACACGGCTCCGCGTTTAATTGTGCGTTCTTCTCATTTAAGTTACTCCATCTTCTTCGTTCACAAACATTTAACATACCGACAGTAAACATGAATGCTAGTCTTGTTCTCCAAGTAGACAGTGGTCAGTGCAACAAATTATTATGACAAACCATTTAAACATTTACATTTTTAAACATACTAGTATCTATTTTCATGCCTTGGTATTTTAACTAATTTTTATTCATTATCCTACTGAAAAATCCATCTTAAAGGTTTTAGCTGGTTTTAGCTGGTCAACCAGGCTAGTTTTAGAGGGATTTTGGCCATTTCCAGGCTGGTTTCCAGCCATTTCCAGCCTGGTCTTAGCTGGTCAGGCTGGAAGATGACCAGCTAAAACCAGCCTGACAAGCCTAGCCAGGCTGGGAGCCCAGCCAAAACCAGCAATGTAAAGCTTAAATCAGGCTGGTCTAGCTGGTTTTAGCTAGATTAAACTAGTCATTTTCCAGCTTGACCAGCCAAGACCAGGCTGGGAATGGCTGGAAACCAGCCTGAAATGGCCAAAACCCCTCTAAAACCAGGCTGGTCAACCAGCTAAAACCAGCCACCCATCCTAGGCTGGTTTAAGCTGGATTTTTCAGCTGATTTAATATTAATGTTTATTTATTTAGGTAGCTGTTCCTATTATTAGATACAAGAACTGATTTCATTCATAGTACTAGTATCTAACAAATAAAACTAGTCCAGCAGACACACAACGTCATAAGATGTTAATATTAGGTTAGATTTAGGTCGCAAGCGTCTAAGGACAATGCTATTTCGATGTCCAATCGCTTATTTCACGCGCCCGCCATTTTAAAGAATCAAAGCGAGGCTGCGGTGGGAAGAAACCCGGAAGTATAGGACCAGCACTGTAAACATTGCAATAACATGCTGTGGACTACAAACCTCCAGCTGTTGCCGAGAATTCCAATTGCAGATATTGTGTAAACATCCCTTTAATATCATTCTGCAAGTTTAATTTAAACAATTAAAAACAATTTAGCATCAAACAACGTCACAATCTCTTTGAGAGTAATATGCTCAAGTGTCCTCCTAGGCTTCAGTTCATGGCACCAGTTAAACACTGTGGGGACGCTTTCCTGCTTCAGCCTATGTAAGTTAACCTGGTGGGCGATAAAACACTGCAGTCGTCTGTAGCACACCCTTGTGTTGTCTGTAATAGTGTTGTCTCGGTACTGAAGTTTTAAAAACGTCTATTTCCTGCTAACATTCAAGCGCCGCTGAGCGCGTTCATAAACAGCACTGATTTACCATAGTATTCACCAGTGCTCATCAGTTAACCGCACTTCACCCAGTGCAAACACAGATACACGGACACTGGAGCGCGCAGCAGCGGTGAAGATCAGTCGAGTTATCAAGCAGATCACTCGTCTGTGTTTGTGCTCGGTAAACAGCAGAGGGTGAACTGATGACCTTCTCGGCCAATCACAGTCATTTCTGTTGAGCACATGAACACAATGGCAAATCAGCGCTGTTTTAAGAAAGCCATCAACAGTGCCTTAAAAGTTAGCAGGAAATTGACAGTTTTCCTTTTAATTCAGTATCATGACAAGTCTAATATAGTGAAAGAATCAGGTCATTAACTCGAGTTTGATAAATGGCATCTAAAACATGTGTTTGGGAAAGAAAACGTTAGCTAACTAGTGCCATTTCCCTTAACTTAGCTGAAAATTAGGTCTGATATCTCTTTTTATTTCCACCATTCATTCAGAACGGACCTTTGGGTCACCCGGAAGGCGGTGAAATGATAAATTTGTGTCACTTTTTCTTCGCTGATAAGAAATACAGCCAAGTACAAGACGTTACTATGTAACTCCCAACGATTCTTCCGGGTTTTTTCCCACCGCAGCCTTGATTTCACTTTTAAAAACGGAGGGCGCGTGAAATTAGTCTAAAATCACGTGAAATTACGTTGATATTTGATTGATTTTAGGTTGTGTTGGATAGTGACAAAAATTCCAACATCGAGCCAACATCTTAAACTAACGTCATATTGACGTCAAATACTGACATTTATTCAACGGGTATGGCAACCAAAATCCAACGTCTGATAGACGTCATAGTGGTAACGTCTATACAATGTCAAGCTGTAACATCATCAGATGTTGATATTTGGTTGTTTTTAGGTTGTGTCGGAAAGTAACCAAAATGCAACGTCTATCTGACGTTCGATATTGACGTCAGCCTGATGTTGGTTTCTGACGTCATCCCAATTTTCATTTCCAAACAAAATGCAACGTCCTACGATGTTGGAGTACAATGTCAATCTGACGTCACGTTGACGTCCTGTGCCTGCTAGGAGTATTGGTTTAATAGATACAAATATTGAAAGTTTATTTATAAGTAATTTTCAGAGCATCACATGCTTATCATTGCTTACAGACGGTCCCGCATTGTTCAATTTATGATACACCAATCAGATGATTCCTAAGCCACTATAACTACACAAAGTTCCATATAACAGCCATCTTCATTTTGAAGAATCCCCCCTTCCACCCTTACTCCTCCTCCCTTCCTAGATGGGTGACACGGTGGCCCAGTGTTTAGCACTGTTGCCTTACAGCAAGAAAGTCACTGGTTCTAGTCATTACCAAGCCAGCCGACATTTCTGTGTGGAGTTTACACATTTTCCCCTTGCTCAAGTGGGTTTACCCCGAGTCCCCCGGTTTCCTCCCACCATCCGAAAACATGCACCTTAAGTTATATCACTAAACCGCAACATAGACATGCTCCTAGTAAGTAGTTATCTCTTAAGAGCAATCACTATCTGTTCATTACTACAGCAGGGGAGTTCTCAAGATCTACCAGAGCTCAAACTCCCCTCTCGCCTTGCAAACGGGAGGGAGCCCCAGGCTCGAGGATCTTATGAGCTCAGGGCTCTCTCTCTCGGGACAGCATGCCAAACTAGCTTTATAATCAACCACTAGCTAAGTGTGAACTCTTAAAGTACTAGAATCAATTAGGTTTTAAGTACCAGAATGTAAAAACAGGTACTGGTATCATAAAAAAAATAAGGACGTAATGAATACCTAAAACAATCTTGTGGCGTAACTTTTTGATTTAGTACCTAATTTTAATTAATTTGTATGATGTCATTCATACTCATCCTAGTACGATTTGCTCATTAACCAATGAGCAAGAGTTAGGGGTGGGGCGTAGGGGTATGCATCCTTTTAAAATTGGCTTACGTTTCCATGTGAGATGGAGCTAGAATACCAAGTAGATATTAAAAAAAATATTTGGATTTATTAAACATCTAAACATAAACATCTTGGCTAAAACAAGGCTAAATTTGAGAAGTCAAAATCTAATTTCTGGTTTATTACTATTAATCCATAGTAATCAAAACAGAACAGTTGATATTTGATAGACAGTTCCACATAGAAGTCAATGTCGAAAATGTGTTACTGCTAACTGTAAAATGGATACTTGTCATTATTACAAACATTAGTATCTAATAAAAAAAACCACTAGTATCTTTTAAAAATATCACCCTAGAGAAAAAATAATAAGCTGTAATCGGTAGCCAATAGTTAAGCATTAATATCTAATAAAAAAGACACAAGTAGCTATAAAATAAGTACTAGTAGCATGACAATAGATACTAGTATGTTTGATAGATTAAATGTTGAGTGCAGCATCTGTGCCTTTAGACGTGCTGGAGTGTTTCTTTGGGAACCAACGCTTCATAAAATGTTAAGAAAACAGATTTGTGATCATAAGACAGGTCCAAGACTGAGACCATCAGACAGGTTTGAGAGCATGAGACAGGTTTAAGAACCGAGGGACGGATCTGAGAGCATGAGACAGGTGTGAGACCCAGCAGGTGAAGGTGATTGAGTGCTGTCGAGCATATTAACACTCTCACCTTTTGATGAAATGATTGATTCTGTTTCAAACTCGCTCACTCTCGCACCTACGCACTCCGAGATAGAGCTATACATTCTTGGTTTGGCTTCTGAGTTGAAAAAAAAAAAACAACTCGAAATGGGTTGTTATAAAAAAATGTGAAGCTGTAGTGCCATTAAATGGGTTTAAACCTGACCAGGCACGACAGAAATGCTTGCCGTAGGCTAAAATGATCATCGCTACATAAAATCAAAGCAAAACACACAACAAAAGTCACATAATTACCGGTGCTTTCACTTGCCTAGCCATTAATCCAACCTGTACTTGCTTATCTAGATGCCTGAGTCGTGAAATTCCCTTCGTTAATCCCACAGATATCCGCATCTGAAAGCAAAATTAGACCCTAACTGCAGAGTACAGATGCAAGGAAACAATGTGTGGTGAAAGTTGCGCTATGCACACACTTTTCTGTGACAGGAATGGGAATGCAATCTATTATATTCCACATTCTGTTGTTAGGACACAATGTAGAAAACAAATTTGGCCAAATTCAGCAGTTAGGCTTGCTTAATGTGCTTTTCACCCTGATTTATTTATCTACTTTTACTCTCATAAAACTATTCATTTTAGTAGAAAGCAAGAAACCAATAGGTTAAACAAAGAGGATGCGAGCAGCAGGACTGCAGGGAGAAGGATGCTCTGCCTTTGCATTCTGAAGGTTGACACAAAACATTTTGGAGGTTCGGTTTTCCTTTTTTTCCACGTTTTTTTTTAGCCCATAAAAATCCACAGGAACTTAAGTGTTTTAAAACAAAATCCTCTCTCAAAGATATTGGTCCCCGTAGGCTGAGTTTAAGCGGCCATCACAGAGGAGTGCGCAAGAGGACATTTTCCCCCTCTCATGTTCAATATTGAACAAAAGCACCAACCACCCCCCCTGTGCCGCACATCCGTCTTTAGAAAGGGGGAGAAAAACCCCTCCTCTATGGGGAGCTCATCAGAGCCAGAGGTTGTTCAGGCAGGGAATCTCTTGCTTTTGTCTTTACGAGTCTTTACGAGTAGGGTCTTTTGAACTCCCTGGTTGGATTATATCATTTTCATGTTAAATTTCCGAGGGGCATCGGCGCCGCTGCTGCTCATCCCAGCGTCCGATTTGCGTGGGACATACTCAATCTCAATATTGTGTTTGCTGTTGCCTTTGCCTCTGCTCCAAAGAAAGAGCAGAACAAGGCAGAACAGAACCACACCCAAGAAAGAGATGAAGCCCATGGTGGTGGCGATGATTAGCGTCTTTATATCGAATGGAAACGGGACTGTCGCTCTAGTTTCGTTGATGCTGTTGTCGTTGGGTTGGTTGGAGATGAACGCCAAGGTTTTGTTGGGTTGATTGGGCCAGTCTGGCGAGTAACTGTGAACATGTAGGTGGGCTAAAGCGGTGTCGTTTCCACCAGCATTACTAGCGATGCAGCCATACGTGCCATTATCCTGAATCTGAGCATATCGCACCTCTAGGGTACCATCTGGGAAAACAGTAAGCCGACCTATCGTTTTCATAGTGATGAACTGCTTTTGTGGTGAAAGCCACATGATCACTGGCGTCGGGTCTCCGTCTGCTTGGCAGACAAAGTGGACAGTGGTGCCCTCATCGACAAACTTCTGCTGTGGCTTTCGATCTCGGATCCTAGACTTGCGACAGGTAAAGTAATTAGGCTGAAGTATGTCAGGAAAGTCCTTGAACTCTTTTCCCTGAACAAACTCAGGTGAGGAGCACGTTGGTTGTTGTCGGTTGAAATTGAGCCTCCAGCGGCGGCGGAAAACCCAAAGCAAACGGCAATCGCAAGCCAATGGGTTGTCGTGCAATGCAAGCGTCTCCAGGTTCCCCACCGAATGAAACACAGACTCCTCCAAGGTAGTAAGGAAGTTGCTAGAGACATTGAGGACTTTTAGGTAGTTGAGACCTCTAAAAGAGTAGGGCTCGATCACTGACAGTCGGCCGCCCACAAGGTACAACTCCTGCAGTCGGAGCAGGTCATGAAGCCGATTGCCCTCAATCATCTGGATGGGATTGTAGGACATGTTGAGGAAACGAAGATAAACCAGGTGCCGCAAGGCTAAGTATGGAATCGATGTCAAGTTTGCGTTAGTGATCGTTAGGGAGGTTAGATTCAATCCGTACAAGCAGTTGGTGGTCATGGTATCCAGGTAGGGCCAGTTGGCGATCTCCAGCACTTTAAGACGATACAGCCTTTTAAAGCTGTAGTCTCTAATGCTGTTGATGTTGAGGTTTCGCAAGCGCAGTGTGACCAAGCTGTGCAGATGCGTAAAGGCCTCTGTGGGGACAGAGGTTAGGTTGCACTTTTCTAGCGTGAGTTGCTCTAGGCTGCTAAGGCCATGAAAGGCCCTGTGGGATATGAAGACAAGGTCATTATCCCCGACCTCCAAAGAGCGCAGGTTGTACAGATCCTGGAACATGTAGTCCAGCAGAATTACGATCTTATTTTCACTGATATCCAGCTTGGTTAGGTTACTTAGGCCTGTGAACACTCCCAGCTGGATGAGCTTTAACTTGTTGCTGCGAAGGCCGAGAGTCTGCAGGCCATAGAGGTTGTTAAAGGCGCCGGGCTCAATGGCCGAGATGGTGTTCTCATTGAGCTCCAACTCCTCCAGTTGCGGGAAGGCAGAGAACTCATCTGGGTTTATGGTTTTGATTCGATTCTTGCTGAGGTCTAGGAGTCGAGTTTCCGACGGGATCCCCTCTGGAACGGACATCAGCTTCTTGCGGTGGCACAAGACCGAGCGCTCTTGAACATTGCACTCACATCGCGATGGGCAGCCCGTGGCAGAGCCAGACAGCACTGTGCCCAGCATCAGTATTAGAATGGGCTGCCAGCATGCCACCAGGAAGCTGTGCCCACTCACTTCCCCTGCCACCATCCTACCGGTTACCTGCACAAACAGAGAGAAGAAGAGCAGTGAGTTATAAAATATGAAATTCAAGGCATCCAAATCAATAAACAATTACACTGCATGGTATTGACTAAACGTTCTACTATTTTATTTTCACTGGCAAGCAGAGAATGGCTCTGAAACATCAGTGAATAGTTTGTTTATTGAACGCCTCGCACTGGAAAGGGTAAAAGAGTGTTTTACTAAGTGTTTTGCTGATAGATCAGAAATTATTTTGCTTTTCCAAAGTGTCAGCTGCATGTTTCATCAAATTATAGACGCACATGTAGAACTGTCAGATTATTTAGGAAGAGCCAAAGGCATAACCACACGAATCGGCACTTTTGGATTCGATCTCCTTTGTTTTCACCTCAGCCAGTTTGACTTCAAAGGCTTTAAACACAATAGCATTCGTGCTAACCGAGCTCAGGGACTTGCCTTGGAATCCATTGCAAGGGTTACATCACCATCATAAGATATTTATGACCGCTCTAAACCTCTGATGCACCTAACACAGCCGAGCATTGAGTTTGAAGACCGATTCTGTGTCCCAACCAGCCTTTTCACTTTCAAATCCACTGAGCGTTCACACTTCCACGTCTAGGATTCATATAAAACGACAGGATGGAAGCATATGTGTGAATTTATCTGCAATTTTCAAAGAAAATCCACTTCACAGGAAGTCAGCAGGCGTGCATATAAAATAGCCAGCATATGGCATCTGCGAGTGAGACTAAATGACGAGGAGACCAATCTGAAACACTCTCCCTCTCTGCAGAATGACCATGCTGACCATTTAAATCTGTACACAGAGATTCTGAAGCGTCCTGACTCAGCAAACAGCACTGTTCATGCATAACTGCCCTCATTGTAAAGTTTAGCATCTTAGCTGTGGTTTGGCTTTCTTCTCCTTACAATTAAACTGGCTTCAAAACGCATCTACAAAATAAAGAAGACTTGCTGAAAATCATCTTTTAAGGCAGAGTTAGCCCCAAAAATAGAAGATCATGTACTCATGCTCCACTTGAACTTCTTTCTTCTGTAAAGTGGTTTATTTATAAACTAATTTCGAGAGGATCACATGCTTATGATTGTTTGCAGAAATATACCCTAAGTTCCATATGACAGCCATCTTTGTTTTGAAGAACCCCCCATTCCACCCCGACGACTCCTCCTTTCCTAGATGGGTGGCATGGTGGCCTAATGGCCCAGTGGTTAGAACTGTCACCTCACAGCAACTGGTTCTAATCCTTACCAAGCCAGCCGACGTTTCTGTACGGAGTTTACACGTTCTCCCCGTGCTCACGTGGGTTTCCCTCGAGTCTCCCGGTTTCCTCCCATCGTCCAAAAACATGCAACTTAAGTTAATTGACTAAACCACACCATACACATGCTCCTAGTAAGTAGTTATCTCTTAAGAGCAATCACTATCTGTTCATTACTACAGCAACCCTGCTGAAAAATCCAGCTTAAACCAGCCTAGGCTGGTTTAAGCTGGATTTTTTAGCAGGGAGGGGAGTTCTCAAGATCTACCTGAGCTCAAACTCCCCTCTCGCCTATCAAACAGGAGGGCGCCCCAGGCTCGAGGATCTTATGAGCTCAGGGCTCTCTCCTGGAACAGCATGCCCAACAAGCTTTATTATCAATCATCAGCTAAGTGTAACACAAATTAAGTTATTTTGAACAAGTAACCATTGACTTCCATAGTTTTTTGTTTTCCAACATTCTCACAAAGGTTTTGGAATCACTTAATGGTGAATAAACAGTGAGTAAATACAATTTTTAAAGGGCAAACTGTCCCTTTAAGTTGTTAGCATTTTGTTGCTAAGCTAATGATACAATACACATGAGCAAAACATACACAGCACACACAAAACAGTCAGTCCTTAAAGGGTCACGAAACACCAAAACACATTTTTTGAGATGTTGACGGTCATATCTATGTGCCACGTTGCTAAAAACTCTGTTAGTAGACATATATCTGGCTAACAAGTGAAAATTGGTTGTTTTTGCGTTGTTTAGAGAAAATTTGTTTTACCGGTTTAAAAAGAAAATTTGAAGCAATGAAATGGCGATAAGATTATTATGTAAATTCCAGTGAGGAGATTGGCTGTCTATATCGACCGGTTTCGTTTTTCAGCACATCTATGCATTCATTAATTAAGATATGGTTTGGACCATTCAGCGTGCTCTATTGTGAACGAGATGCAACTTCATTAATATGCATGATATCTTCGAAGACTCTATTTTACCTGTTGCAGTGTTCAGAGATAACACGTTGTGTTGCCAAGCATAATTCAAACAAGTAGAAGAAGAAGAATTGTTTGAAGACATGGGTTGTCAGTGTTGCGTTTCTAAATGTGCCACAACAAAGGTTTTGCTTCCATTTTCCTACGATGAAAGCACAGATCGCATGTGGACATATGCGCTAACATACGACAAAAATATGTTTGTAAGAAACGTTTTTTTACCTGAGAGCTTTTCGAATCTGGAAATGGTTTCATTCAAATTTGCAGCTCGTCTTCTTTTAAAAAAGACACAGTTCCAGTTGGTGTTGATTTTTCTGTCTCTATGGATTTTGTAAGTGTTTGATCAATGTTCGTTGTTTATGTTTATTCAGATGGCAAAGTTAGTAAGTATCGTCAGCAGTACTCTTTCAGTTTTTAAAGGCATACCTTAGTCAAAATGATTTACTTACTAAGTTTACAGTAATATCACTACAATATTATGAACTAAAAATCCCCCACTTTCACACAGCTCTCATATTTACGCTGTAAATGTTGCTCTCCGAATCACTGTCTATCTTCCGTTTCTGTGTTTGTGTTGCCGCTGTGAAAATCACGTAATGAAACTCCCCTTTTTATGCAAATCCTTCCCTCTTTCGCCACATAAACAAAGATGGACTCATCTTTCCTGACTTTTTTCAAACTAGAGGTGTGAAAACACTCTGCTCAGACAGGGGGGTTTCATGGCCCTTTGACCATTATAAAGTTACTGATTGGTATTTCCCATCTAAATGCTCATTATATTGCATTATGGGATTTCCTTATATTCCTGTATTTTATATGCACATTATTAATCATAATAAACCAACAATGCACACACTAACCTGTTTTCCTTTTTCAGAGTATAGACATAAACAGGTTGAGCATAGAACGATCATCACAGATAGATTGTTTTCCGCCTATTTCACTCTGCATGTAAATGCACTGACCTGCTTTCTGTCGGTTCACTGAAGTGTGCATATGTGACAGAAACACATCCTTACCGCAGATTTAAGCAAATCCAGAAAGAGCAAACATTTTGCCTCAGGGTAGAAGGAAATACAGCACAAACCCAGAAACTTCTTGACCTAAAGAATTATAAAAATCGTAAAGATAAAATATGTACAACTACCGGCCACTTTATTAGGTACACCTGCCCAACTGCTTATTAACGCAAGTTTTTAATCAGCCAATCGCATGACAGCAACTCAATGCATTTAGGCATGTAGACATATTCAAGACGATCTGCTGCAGTTTAAACCGAGCATCAGAATGGAGAAAAATGGTGGATTAAGTGACTTTGAACGTGGCATGGTTGTCGGTGCCAGACAAGCTGGTCTGAGTATTTCAGAAACTGCTTTACAGAGAATGGTCCTTAAAAGAGAAAATATCCACGGAGCTTCAGTTCTGTGGATGCAAATGCCTTGTTGATGCCAGAGGTCAGAGGAGAATGACCAGACTGGTTACAGCTGATAGAAAGGCAACAGTATCTCAAATGACTACTCGTTACAACCGAGGTCTGCAGAAGAGCATCTCTGAACACACAACACTTCCAACCTTGAGGCGGATGGGCTACAGCAGCAGAAGACCACACCGGGTGCCACTCCTGTCAGCTAAAAACAGGACACTGAGGCTACAATTCACACAGGCTCACCAACATAGGACAATAGAAGATTGGAAAAACGTCGCCTGGCCTGACAAGTCTTGATTTCTGCTCTAACATTCGGATGGTAGGGTCAGAATTTGGCGTCAACAATATGAAAGCATGGATCCATCCTGCCTTGTATCAACGGTTCAGGCTGGTGGTGATGTAATGGTGTGGGGGAGATTTTCTTTGCACTATCATGATGCTATCATGTCAATATGGACCAAAATCTCTAAGGAATATTTCCAGCACCTTTTTGAATATATGCCATGAAGGATTAAGGCAGTTCTGAAGGCAAAACAGAGTCCAAGCCAGTACTAGTAAGGTGTACCTTATAAAGTGGCCGGTGAGTGTATATCACACATGCTTAATGTATAAATCTCACATGTAACATATAAAACAGTTAAAAAATATTCCAAAACTACTGTTCATATATTTTATGTGCGTTTCCAATGTGATCTTTACATGTGAAGTTCATGATTTTTCTGTAATGGATTCAGTAATAAGGCATGCTGTATTCTTACATCTCCAGCTAGTCCCAGGTTTACACTTTTTTTTTTCTACTGCTGTCATGCTATTCTCTACCGACCTGTCGTGACTCTGATTACGGTTTCATAACCACCTACACAGCACTGAAATACTTCTATTGAGCGAGTCTGTTTCCTGTTCGTGTAACACAACATCAATGCAGCATGATCATAAAAAAAATATACAACTTGCATTAGGAAGCCTGACGCCACAGATGATTACTTCTAGCACTGAAAGACTAGTGATGCTGACATCAGAGAGTTTTCAGTTCAGTTCAAATGGTTCTTCAGGGAATCGCAAATCTTTAAGAATAACCACCATTAAGAAAATCTCCACCCACCCACATAAACAGAAAACATCTCCCAGACAAGCTTGTTATATGATAGCAAAGGCAGGAATGATCTTGTACGCAAATTCCCGAATGCAAAATTACATTAATGTAGTCTCTTGTTCATTTGCATATTCACGAGTAATTGAGTGGAGGAATTATGATGCCAGTTTGTGTGCAAAAACCCGGAAGTGAGTTAGCATTTTCATTCATTCATTCATTTTCTTGTCGGCTT